CTGAACACTCTGGGAGTTTCAGAGTGATACACCAATAAAGGCTTCACTTTGCAATCACCACTAGCATTAGCACACATCAAGAGAGTAAGCCTGTCTTTTATAGGCTTATGTCCTGGGAGTGCCTTTTCCTCCTGAGTAATGTAGGTCATGTTTGGCATTTTCTTCCAAAACAGACCTGTTTTGTGACAATTAAACACTTGTTCAGGTTTGAATTCTTCACTGTCTATGTAATCCTTGAATTCCTTCACATATTTTTCAGCCGCTTTTTGGTCCGAACTGGCAGCCTCACCATGCCCTATCACACTATGTATGCCACTGTGATTCTTAAATCTCTCAAACCAACCTTTGCTGGCCTTAAATTCACTCACATCACCACTAGTTGCAGGCATTTTTCTAATTAAATCCTCATGCAACTTCCTAGCCTTTTCACATATGATCGCTTGAGAGATGCTATCTCTTGCTATCTGTTTTTCGTTTATCCACACCAATAACAGTCTCTCAACATCTTCGAGTACTTGCGATCTCTTATTTGAAAACAAAGTTGCACCTTTTGCAAGAACAGCTTCCTTGATTGCCGTTTTGTTGGCCACAATAGTAGCGATGGTTGATTGGGGTTTGGTATACAACCTGGCCAGCTCCAAGACACACAATCCACTTTCGTACTTAGCAATTATCTCTTTCTTCATTTCCATAGTAATTTTCACCTTTTTTATCGCATGGTTGGCACTAGAAGCTTTCTTGGGGCCCATGGTGACTTATTTTGCAGGTACAATCACTAAAAATGCTGTGATAATATGAAATGTTCCGATTGTATGCGTGGATGCGATCCCACTGGCTGGCTTGTAAACACTGGCACCCACGGGGCAGCTGAGGCGCACTGAGGCTACATGTGGATGCATCTCGGACGAATCGCGTGTGAGGCAAAATTTTTGCATTAAAATGTATCGTATGGTGGATTTAACGTAAGATGATGCCATCGTATGGTGGGGGTCCACTGTACTTTGACACCATGATACTGCATGTTTACTCAACTTTGGAGTTCAAGGAGTGAATGTGGCAAGTTCTTTCTGACATACATCACACAACAGTTGGTTGACCTTAAGTTATAAGCTGCAAATCCAGGCAACTTTGGTGGAGGTGCTCCATTTTTCAGTCTACATTCCTGCAAACAAATGACATCAATATTGTTGGCTGCACTAATATGATGTAAGTCAGGCAACCGCTTCCTGATGGAAGCAATGTTCCATGAAAAGATTTGTAATCTATACATTGTAGTGAGTTATTACAATCTCTTGCTCATAAATTGGTAAGACTATTATACTTTGGCTACAATGTACAGACACTTAAGAGCAAATAGCATAGTTTGTACATGTTTATCTTCAGAACATTTTTTTTTTTAAGCATTCTTCGACATCTTGGCAGCCAGTTTCAAGGCAACTTTTGAAGCCAAGAGTCATGGGTTTCTTTCTTAGAAACTGCTTTAAACTGAACAGAGATTGCTGCACTTCTGACATCATCAACGTACTCAAGAGCATCATCCTGACTACATATATTTATTAAACTTGTCAGCATCTGTTCAAGATGCTCAGTTCTTTTCTGCCAGTTTGTTATAATTTAACAAAGGTCAGGAAAATCCAATGCCTCTCCAGAGGAAGGCACTTATGAGTTACTTCTTTTTTAACACTTATCACCTAAATTAGCAGGTACCATAGTTACATTAGTGTTCTCTGATGGTGCCTGTGGCATGACTGCCTTATCATTCATTGTAGGTAGGTCCTGTACATTTGACTGATCTCCAGCTTTCAGGGTGGTTACATGTGTGGTGTCTGTCTGACTGTTGTACATGTGTGTATTGGGAAAAATGACATGCTCATCCCCATATTCAGGTGTAGGCATAGGTATAGGTAGTGGCAGATCAGTAGTTTCACATGTGCTAGCAGGGATGGCTAGCTCCTCCACAACTGGTGTGTGTGATGACATTCTGGTATCACCAGAATCCTTTGCAATGAGGTTGGGCTCTTCCACACTTTGCAGAGGTTCAGTCTCAGGTCTGGTTGTGGTAGACTGGATGGCCTCATCCTCAGTTACCATTAAAAGACTGTTAGCAGGTTTACATCGAAGGTTGTTTGGGTTCTGACTGCAGTCCTTATGGGAAACTGTAACCCAAACTTCTTTACAGTTAACCCTTTCAGGGTTGGCAGGCCCTCTCCTAAACATGTTCTCAGGGTCGGAAATTTTTTGATAAAAAAATTATTTTTTCTTATGAAAAGATAGAGAATCTTTTTCCGATCATAATGACACTCAGAAAAGACCGACATGTCATGCACTCCCTTTCCACGCTCAGTTTCGGACCACACAATGGACTAAATTCTTTACTTTATGACCGACTTCCTCTATTGCCTATCTTTCCGACCATAGTATTGGCAAGGCACTCCTACGCCATGTTGGTAAAGATATTTCCTTTCATGCTCTCAAGAGTGGTATGCGCATCATTACTGTCCAGAATGCTACCCAAGTTCATGATCTTTCTCTTCTTTCACATATCGATACTATTCCTGTCACTATTGAAAAACATCATTCCCTCAATTCTTGTAGTGGTACTGTCATTCTGCCCCATACCATAGTTCAACAGAATTGCCAGACATGTGGCAATGACATTCTCGAACAGCTGGAACTCCAAGATCTCCCAATCCTCAAAGTAAACACTTATGTCCTTCCTGCCCACGGGCGGAGACGATACCCTTGCAATGTGGCTCAATTAACTTTCGACAGCCGTGAACTCCCGTCCTCTATTTATGAAGCAGGACATCGGTAACAAGTTCTAAAGGTGGTCCCTACACCGCAACAGTGTAGAAATTGCTGGTGATTTGGTCACCCAGCAAAATATTGTAGATCTATAGCTGAATGCCCAGTCTGTGGTACTGATGACCATTCTAATACATTTTGTAGCTGATCTCCCTCTTGCCTTAATTGTCATGAGGCTCATCCTTCTTACTCTCGCCATCGCTAGGTCTACTTAAATGAGCAAGAAATCCGCACAGTGACCACATAGACTCATTCTTTCATATGTAGGCCTACCAGTTTTCTCTCTCTCCCGAGATTTGAAGGTGATAGAATTTATGCATACTAGTACAGCACCAACCCTGGCGTGCAAGCCGTACTAGTATGGCACAAACCCTGAAAGGGTTAAGCATCCCAGTTTTATAAAGTTTTTCATCTGATTTTTAGTAAATGTGTACAGGAGAAGGGGTTACTAGCCCATTGCTCCCAGCATTTTAGTTGCCTCATACAACATGCATGGCTTACGGGGGAAAGATTGTTTTTCCACTTCCCCATGGACAATAGAGAGAGAGAGAGAAAGAGAGAGAAAAAAAAAGAACAAGAGCTATTAAGAAAAAGAAGAAAAACCCTATATGTGTGTATGTGTATATATATGTATATGTATGTTATGTATATATATATATATATATATTATATATATATGTATATATAATATATATATATATATATATATATATATATATATATATATATATATAACAGTGGACCCCCAGTTAACGATATTTTTTCACTCAATAAGTATGTTCAGGTGCCAGTACTGACCGAATTTATTCCCATAAGGAATATTGTGAAGTAGATTAGTCCATTTCAGACCCCCAAACATACACGTACAAACGCACTTACATAAATACACTTACATAATTGGTCGCATTTGGAGGTAATCGTTATGCGGGGGTCCACTGTAATATATATATATATATATTAGTCAGAGGGCAGAAGAGGGGTTGTTGAGGTGGTTTGGTCATTTAGAGAGAATGGATCAAAGTAGAATGACATGGAAAGCATATAAATCTATAGGGGAAGGAAGGAGGGGTAGGGGTCGTCCTCGAAAGGGTTGGAGAGAGGGGGTAAAGGTTTTGTGGGCGAGGGGCTTGGACTTCCAGCAAGCGTGCGTGAGCGTGTTAGATAGGAGTGAATGGAGACGAATGATACTTGGGACCTGACGATCTGTTGGAGTGTGAGCAGGGTAATATTTAGTGAAGAGATTCAGGGAAACCGGTTATTTTCATATAGTCGGACTTGAGTCCTGGAAATGGGAAGTACAATGCCTGCACTTTAAAGAAGGGGTTTGGGATATTGGCAGTTTGGAGGGATATGTTGTGTATCTTTATACGTATATGCTTCTAAACTGCTGTATTCTGAGCACCTCTGCAAAAACAGTGATAATGTGCGAGTGTGGTGAAAGTGTTGAATGATGATGAAAGTATTTTCTTTTTGGGGATTTTCTTTCTTTTTTGGGTCACCCTGCCTCGGTGGGAGACGGCCGACTTGTTGGAAAAAAAAAAAAAAAAAAAAATATATATATATATATATATATATATATATATATATATATATATATATATATATATACAGTGGACCCCCGCTTACCGATCACCTCCAAATGCGACCAATTATGTAAGTGTATTTATGTAACTGCGGTTGTACGTGTATGTTTGGGGGTCTGAAATGGACTAATCTACTTCACAATATTCCTTATGGGAACAAATTCGGTCAGTACTGGTACCTGAACATACTTCTGGAATGAAAAAAGATCGTTAATCGGGGGTCCACTGTATATGCACGTGCATGCCTTTGTAGTGTGACCTAAGTTTAAGTAGAAGTAGCAAGATATACCTGTTATCCAGCATGCTTATGAGACAGAAAAAGACACCAGCAATCCTACCATCATGTAAAACAGTTACAGGTTTCTGTTTCACAGTCATCTGGCAGGACGGTAGTACCTCCCTGGGTGGCTACTGTCTACCAACCTACATGACTTAATGCCTAACTTAATATATGTTAGTGTAAACTTGTTATCTGGCATTTAAATGCATTCATAAATGGAAAAAATGGCATTCTGCTTTCCGGCAGTAGTCTGGAACCTAACCAGTGAAGCCCTACTGTTCTGTACATTTTTAAGTTCATCTACACACCAGAAAAGGTAAGAAAAATTACTGTATGCACTATACTGTATTGTACTTTCAACTCTGCTTTTCAGGTACAGCTATACTGTAATGTAATTCATGCAGTGTATTGTAAAAACCTACCCTTAGTCCATTCTTAGTGTGTTTGATAGCCCATCAATATAGCAGATGTCCATTTCCATGAGACTTGCAATATATCTCATTATCCATAAAGAGGACACCCCTCCTTCCCTATTAGTCTGTTCCATGGAAGTTCCACTATAACAGACTGATGAAGAATCCAATGAAGATACCATTTGAGAGACTATGACACAGGATTAGTGATCCTCAGAACTCACAGAATACAAAGCCTGAGAAATGGAAGGCAATCAGATTGGATCCAAGAAAGTTGTGCTTGTTCTTTAGCTCATAAGACATTCAATCCATGAATGAAATGGTCTCCAGAAGCACTTCAAAGTTCTGATTGTAAACACTCAAAAATATTATGTTCTTTCTACTGAATGAGTTCTCCTATGTCATACTGGGTCTGCTTTTAATGAAACGTCTTTTAGATACTAGGAACACTGATTTGGTTTTTCACGTGTATGAACTTTCATGTGTCTTACTAGAGATGGTTTCTGTGAAAAATCTTTCAAACACACTGAACACTGATATGCCTTTTTTTGTGAATGAATACTCATGTGTTGTATTAAACACGTTTTTTGCGAAAATTCTTTTAGACACTCCAAACATTGATATGGTTTTTCATGTGTATGAACTCTCATGTGTCTTATCAGATTTGATTTTTGTGAGAAGTGTTTCAGACACTCTGAACACTGATATGGTTTTTTTTGAGTATGAACTCTGGTGTGTCTTATTAGATCTGGTTTTCTTTTAAAGTGTTTTAGACACTCTGAACACTGATACGTTTTTTCTTGAGTATGAACTCTCATGTGCATTTGTAGATTTGACTTTCGTGAAAAATCTTTTAGACACTCTGAACACTGATATGGTTTTTCTTTAGTATGAACTCTCATGTGTCTTATTAGATCTGACTTCCCAGAAAACCCTTTTGGACACTCTGAACACTGGTACGGGTTTTCTTGTTTATGAACTCTCTGCTGGTGAAGTGTTAGTGTAATTTTGTGTGAAAAGTCTTTTAGACACTCTGAACACTGATAAGGTTTTTCCTGTGTATGGGCTCTCATGTGACTTATTAGGTGTGATTTTCGTGAAAAATCTTTTTGACACACTGAACATTGAAATGGTTTTTCCTGTGTATGAGTGCTCATGTGATTAATTAGATCTGATTTTTGCAAAAAGTCCTTAAGACACACTGAACATTGATATGGTTTTCCTACTGAATGACTTTTCAAGTGTAGTACAAGATGAGCCTTAAATTTAAATAATTTTAAACATAATGAACACTGATTAAGTTCTTGCCCTGAGGGGACACTTGTGTGTTGCATGATGCTATTCATCTCAGTCATATAGATACAGAATACTGAATTTTATTTTTTGCTGAATGATTTAAGCATGTGCATTCTGAAATAACTGAAGAATCTTTTTGGTCCTGATCTGAGCTTGAAGTTGAACACTATATATGAGGACACAGTTAGTGTCCTCAATATACTAATTCTCCACACAACGTCAACAGTGGCAGCTCAGGAGTGCTAGTCCTTAGTACCCTAAAAGCTGTTCAGTGCCACATTATTGTTCCAAAACTATGTCTAGAGAAAGTACCAGTTTTATACCTGAAGCTCCAATTAGCTATTGGGATTTAACATCCATTAATTATATCAATAAATAAGGTACTATATAAACATGATAATTGCTCATAAATGCATAAATTCATATAATTGTAGATGCTTAAATTTAAAATACATTAGAACATGTGAATGGTTGAGGTTACAATTTAGCAGCAGCAAGTTAGCACAGTATTCATGGGGAGATCTATGTACTAATTTTAGATTTGAAAAATAATTATCACTAGACTTGTATTGAAATTATGTTAAAACTTAATTAACCCTTTCAGGGTCCAGAGGCCAAATTTCAAAGTATGCACCAGTCTCCAAGAATTTTCAAAAAATAATTTTGTTATTTTTTCTTGTGAAATGGTAGAGAATCTTTTTCTGAAGGTAACAAAACAAAAAGTACGAAATTTGATAGAAAACTGATGAAATTATGCTCTTGCGAATTTTGACGTGTCAGCGATATTTATGCACCGGTGATTTTGCCGACTTTGACTCCCATTTTAGGCCAATTACCTTATTCCAGTTGACCAAATTCTTAGCTATTTCACTAGTATTACTTCTATTCAATCGATTTAGGACAAGAAATCACCAACTCAACTGTTTCAACTACAAAATAAAGTGATTGGAAATTGGTAAATTGGACAATTTAGTGCAAAGTTCAAAATATTCCAATTTCAAAATAGGGTCCAGAATAAACAATGCAGGCATTCCTAGCACTAAACTAACATTTCCTCTGTTCATTAGTTACATTTTCAGGCTTTACAAATGAATTCCATTTTGATTTTTAATTCACATAACAAATTTTTATTCAAACCAAAAAATAGAAGATTTACTGTCATGCAATATTGTAATAATTGTATAAATAACATCAGCACATTTGTGAACATATATTAGACCCACCACCTGGCGTGTATTGGACGTGTGGGATAATTTGTTTACTCTTGAACATTGGCAAAAATTTAACATTTCCGCTACTTTGAGCTCAGTTTCAAGCTATTTTCGGTACTAAAAACCAATCAAAATCATCTCTATTCCTGTAATGTATCTTCCATTCTATCAAATGAGACCAAGAAATCACAAATACAACTATAAAAACATATGAAAAAACACTGCAAAGTTGCTGTTTTAATCGAAAATTACAGTTTCATTTTTTTTACTCTAATTATGCACTGTGTGCTGCAGGATTTGTTTTATGTGGTGCACACATACCACAATGGTGTATTCTCTCATATCTAGGCCCAAATTTACTGCTCACAGCTTATCAGAGTGAGCTGAGCTCATGGCGTAGATCTACGGTTTGGACCCTCAACGTAAAGCAGTAGATCTACGGCACAGACCCTGAAAGAGTTAAGACAGAATATAAACTTGCTGTAATGTTTAACAAATATATGGGATTAATACTGGGTAAGAAATTAACTTCTTGCTATGATTAAGTAAAATGTCACAAATAAAATTAATACAAGGTTAAAACAATGTAGCAGTAGTTTTGGGTTATAATGTTCTGTATACACTACCAGGAACCCCTTTGTTACCTCTGGGCCTGCCTATAAGCTATATATATTAATATAAAATGGCCACTATATGATTTATATTGCCAGTGTATGACAGCTGTGGAAAATATAAAGGTTAGAGATGTTTGAAGAAGATGTATGTGTATCTGTCAGGTGGAACCTAAAAATGTATCTCAGCAATGCACGTTTATGTCTCTCTCACCAAATTATCGACATTAATATTTTTAAACTATTTTCTCCCATAAAAATTTTTGTGTTTATTGGAAGAGATTAGAATATATTATAGCTGTAGTGAACATTATCTCTGAGTTCATAATACACTAATGATAGGTGGTTATTGTTTATGAAGGAGATAATAAATTTGGAAATTAAATAAAAACATTCATTAATAGAACTTCAATAATTTCCATTCAAAAGACTTCATATTACTGGCAATTATTGTGTTTATCCAGCTGGAAATATAGTTCCTAATTCCATTAGTATATACAATATTAAAAATATTCATGTCCTTATTTTGATAAAGAAGATAAAAGACAGCATAAAGTTGACAATAGTAGAAACAAATGTGATTACAAGTTTTTACACATTATCAACATTTATTTTCTCAAGTATAATAGAATCCTTTTTGATAATCAGCAGCACACAGTATCAAAATAGACATATACACTAATAACAGCACACTGGATGATGACGATGTGGATGTATGAGCATATACATTAAGCAGAGCACACTAGATGATGACGATGTGGATGAATGAGTGTATACATTTAGCAGAGCACACTGGATGATGTGGATGTGGATGAATGAGTGTAGCAGACCACACTGGATGATAAGGATGAGGATGTGGATACATGTACAGTACTACAAGTACAGTAAGAAACTAATGACCACTGGATGTTGAGGGTATGGATGTAACTGCCAGAATAATAAAGTGAGCTTTATGATACAAGTGAAGACACTTAGGATGTATTATTGTTGATGTGGTCAATATTAGTACACTGCTCACACTATTCCTGCAGACTATCTGGTTCTGTAGTATTATTTGTATTGTAGTATTGCTGGCTTTGTGAATGTAATGCTTCTCTTGAGATGAACAACTGCAAAAGTAAAGAATGCAAGATTAATGTTAAATCCCTGGCATACAATCAATAAAGTTAAGAATATCTGCACTGATGATTTCAGTGCTTTGGAGACAATTAATTTACTGTAGATTCCAATCTGCAGACACAAATATTGCTCACATTTAAACAGATTATCTTAGGAAAAATTTTTTTTCCTTTATTTGTCTTCAAATGCATTCAGAATGTGTGTATAATCATTTTATGGATGTGTGGGCTCATGTTTCTTTGTAAAAAATTGGTCAAGAAATGATGATTTAATTATGAATATGTTAATCTTTTTAGGGTCTGTCTCGTAGTTCCACAGCTTGTCCACAGGATCCAGGAATTTTCCCAAAAAGTTTTGTTATTTTTTGTTATGAAATGGTACAGAATCTTTTTCTTTAGGTAATAAAACAAAAAGTACAAAATTTCATGGAAAACTGACGAAATTACACTATTGCACATTTTACTTCATCAGTGATACTTATGCATTGGTGATTTTGCCCACTTTGACTCCAATTTTAGGCCAATTACATTATTACAGTCGACAAAATTCTGAGCTATTTTGCTAGTATTACTTTTATTTTATCAACTGAGCACAAACAACTGCCCAATCTACTACAGTGGTACAGGTCCTCCATCACAAATCCGGCATCATTGGGACCTGTAGTGTGCTGGATTACTGAGTTTGCCAGATTACAGAATGGTTAGGTTAGAATACACTTAATAAAATTAACCAACTTGACTTGCACAGTTCATTGAACATCGGCAAAAATCGAACATTTCCGCTACTTTGAACTCAATTTCAAGGTACTTTTCATCATGAAAGCAATCAAAATCATGTCTATTTCTGTAATATATCTTCCAGTCTATCAAGTGAATCCAAAAAAATGAGAATACAGCCATAAAAACCATACGAAAATATACTGCAAAGAGGCGGCTAATGGCTGAAAAGTGAACTCCCTTATTTATTGTCCGTCTTTTTTATTTTTTGTTGTACGTTAAGAAGCATCTTCCCATCATACATTGCCCAAGTTTCAATGAGATAGCCCAACAGACAACCAAGAAAAAAAAATATTTACCAAAAATCATATATGACAAGCCCAAGCCAGGTACTGGAAATAAGTCACTTTGTCTGACTTTTCTGGGTTATCCTAGGTTCTCTATACATACACTGCTATGTATGATAATCTATGTAACTGTATTTGTGTATACCTGAATAAACTTACTTATTTACTTACTTCCAGTCTGTCAACTGAGTACAAGAAGCTGCCCATTCACTTATTTCAACTACCCAATAAAGTGGTCAGAAATTGGCAATTTGGCCAATTTCACACAAATTTCAACATTTGCCAATTTCAAAATAGGGTCCAGAATAAACAATGCAGACATTCCTGGCACTAAAATAACATTTTCTCTGTTAATTAGTCATGGCTACAGGCCCCTCTTTCATTTGGAATTTTTATTCACAAAAAAATAGAAGATTTACTGTTATGCAGATTCCTGCATTATTGTAATAATAGTATAAATAATGTCAAGCCATTCTTGACTCCGTACTGGAATTTAGACTGGCAGGCGGACAGGTATTGGACAGTGACGTCATTTGTTTACTCTTGAGCTTCGCTTAAGTATAGAACATTTTCGCTACTGTGAGCGCAATTTCAAGGTACTTTTCATCATGAAAGCAATCAAAATCATATCTATTTCTGTAATGTATCTTTCATTCTATCAAATAAGACCGAAAAAATGAGAATATAACCATAACAACCATACAAAAATATACCGCTAAGCGGCCGCTAATGGCTGAGAAGTGAGCTCCGCTATTTATTGTCTGATTTCTTTCATTTTTGGTGTACGTGAAGAAGTATCTTTCCATCATACATTGCCCAAATTTGAATAAGAAAACCCAACAAACAACTGAGAAAATATAATAATCATAATAATAATAATAATAATAATAATATCTTTATTTACTACACGTACATGTACAAGGTATACAGGCCTAGCTGACATCAGTGACATACTACTGTATAGAAAGCCGCTTGTTATGCAGAGTATTTCAAGAAAATTAGGTCAGTGTCCCAGGATAACACCCACACTAGTCGGCTAACACCCAGGTACCAATTTACTGATGGGTAAACATAGACAACAGGTGTAAAGAAACACGCTTAATGTTTCTACCCTGGCTGGGAATCGAATATTTACCAAAAATCATATATGGCTAACCCAAGTTGACTTTTTTTGGTTATCCTAGATTCTCTACACATATGCTGCTATGTGTGATAATCTATATAGAGAAAATAACTTTTGTTTCAGGTTTATGGTACAGTACGAGTGTATATCACAGCTAGCCCTGTGCTATACTCCGTTTTCTCTAATACAAGCCCCCAAGACAGGGATAGGAGAATGGTATTTGTATACCATATCCTCTTCATACCTCCGTCGAACTGCTCAGTGTTATGCCAAATATTGTTCATTCTGGAGTATTTAACATGTTATTTATATTGTTTCTTATGTCATATTAGATCAATTGTGATAGGCAAATAAGCTGTAGTGTTGATATTAGCGTAATAATAAAGCATATTCTCCTGCTTCATGAGACTGAGCTCATGGCAACTGACAGTGGCTTCAAAGCCACCTTATCTTTAATGGATAATGTACTGTGTAGGTGCTTTACATAATGAGAAGCATTTCTTTTATTCATTGGAACCATGGCTAGGGCTAAAAGTAAACAGGTTAAAACAATAAATGGAGAAAAAGAAATTGGAATGACTTATGCAGCAAGTAGCACCACCAAACAGTATCAGCAGGTTGGTGTGGTGACCCTGGAAATTTGAAATTATGCTAGCCAAAATTAGTGCCGAATAACTGAAGGAACCGAATAACTGATTGCCGGATTTGTGATGGCGGACCTGTACCTCGAATTTCGAACAGCTCACAACTCGAACACTTATGCAAGTGTATTTTTGTAAGTGCTTTTGTAAGTGTATTTTTGGGGGTCTGATATGGACTAATCTAATTTACATTATTCCTTTTATTTATTATCACACTGGCCGATTCCCACCAAGGCAGGGTGGCCCAAAAAAGAAAAACTTTCACCATCATTCACTCCATCACTGTCTTGCCAGAAGGGTGCTTTACACAACAGTTTTTAAACTGCAACATTAACACCCCTCCTTCAGAGTGCAGACACTGTACTTCCCATCTCCAGGACTCAAGTCCGGCCTGCCGGTTTCCCTGAACCCCTTCATAAATGTTGCTTTGCTCACACTCCAACAGCACGTCAAGTATTAAAAACCATTTGTCTCCATTCACTCCTATCAAACACACTCACGCATGCCTGCTGGAAGTCCAAGCCCCTCGCACACAAAACCTCCTTTACCCACTCCCTCCAACCTTTCCTAGGCCGACCCCTACCCCACCTTCCTTCCACTACAGACTGATACACTCTTGAAGTCACTCTGTTTTGCTCCATTCTCTCTATATGTCTGAACCACCTCAACAACCCTTGCTCAGCCCTATGGACAACAGTTTTGGTAATCCTGCACCTCCTCCTAACTTCCAAACTACGAATTCTCTGCATTATATTCATACCACACATTGCCCTCAGACATGACATCTCCACTGCCTCCAGCCTTCTCCTCGCTGCAACATTCATCACCCATGCTTCACACCCATATAAGAGTGTTGGTAAAACTATACTCTCATACATTCCCCTCTTTGCCTCCAAGGACAAAGTTCTTTGTCTCCACAGACTCCTAAGTGCACCACTCACCCTTTTCCCCTCATCAATTCTATGATTCACCTCATCTTTCATAGACCCATCCGCTGACACGTCCACTCCCAAATATCTGAATACATTCACCTCCTCCATACTCTCTCCCTCCAATCTGATATCCAATCTTCCATCACCTTATCTTTTTGTTATCCTCATTACCTTACTCTTTCCTGTATTCACTTTTAATTTTCTTCTTTTGCACACCCTACCAAATTCATCCACCAACCTCTGCAGCTTCTCTTCAGAATCTCCCAAGAGCACAGTGTCATCAGCAAAGAGCAACTGTGACAACTCCCACTTTATGTGTGATTCTTTATCTTTTAACTCCACGCCTCTTGCCAAGACCCTCGCATTTACTTCTCTTACAACCCCATCTACAAATACATTAAACAACCACGGTGACATCACACATCCTTGTCTAAGGCCTACTTTTACTGGGAAATAATCTCCCTCTTTCCTACATACTCTAACTTGAGCCTCACTATCCTTGTAAAAACTCTTCACTGCTTTCAGTAACCTACCTCCTATGCCATACACCTGCAACATCTGCCACATTGCCCCTCTATCCACCCTGTCATATGCCTTTTCCAAATCCATAAATGCCACAAAAACCTCTTTAGCCTTATCTAAATACTGTTCACTTATATGTTGCACTGTAAACACCTGGTCCACACACCCCCTACCTTTCCTAAAGCCTCCTTGTTCATCTGCTGTAATGTTATTATTATTTTATATATGTATGTACTTGATTTCTCATTGTTTTCAGTATGTAAATCTTTATTTAATTTGAAAAAAAAAAATTATTTTAATATTTTTGGGTGTCTGGAATGGATTAATTTTATTTCTATTATTTCTTATGGGAAAATGGTTTCGCCATTCAGCAATTTCGACATTCGGCAGATTCTATGGAACGGATTAATCATGAAACTCGGGGGTCCACTGTATTTCAATTACCCAATAAAGTGATCAGATATTGGTAATTTGGCCAATTTCACAAAGTTCAAAATATTCCAGTTTCAAAATAGGATCCAGAATAAACAATGGAGGCATTCCTGGGACTAAAATAACATTTCCTCTGTCTATCAGTTATGTTTCCAGGCTTTACAGATGAATTCCATTTTGATTTTTTATTTACATGAAGAATTTTTATTCACACACAAAAAGTACAAGATTTACTGTTATACAATATTGTAATATTTGTATAAATAATATCAGCACATTTGTGAACAAACATTAGACC